GTAGGGAAAACATGACAGATTCAATATCTATACTTACATACTAACATTTAGCATGTCATTAATGGTTAAAAAAATTCCCAGGCAACATAAAGTTTTATTCATTGTATTTTCTACCTTTCCAAGTGAGAAGACACACAGTGTATCTGCACTTCATGTGCATCAAAAAACTGATGTAAAAACAATGAAGATAGCTGCTGTATTTGTGTGTTATCAGTGTGAAAGTGGCATTTCCAAGCCACTTTCTTGAATTCATTGTACTGTGAGGTTATATACATTCAACTGTACAGTAAACATACATTAAATAAAAGTACAATTACACTTTTGTTGTCCCTCATTGGTTAAAAAATCCGTCCAAACCTCATTCTGAGAAGGGGTCTAATACTTTCATGTCCATGGAAAACTGCCCAGTGTGGATATCACCAGAATAAAAGTGACCAAGCCACAGGTGAAGCAAACTAGTTGTCAACTTATTCTTGAAACGGAGATATTTTAGGTGTTTCGAATTGCCAAAGCTTGTTCAAGCTCCTGTCTTCGTTGTTGAATCTACATAAAAGGAAAGAAGCATACATTTGTAAATGAAAAGACAAAGTGAAATGTCCACTTTTGATTCTAACATGAAAAAATACCATTTAAAATAACCCTTTTATTCTTTGTTTTTTAAAGCATAAAATGTCATTTATTCCTGTGATGGCAAAAAAGCTGAATTTTCAGCATCATTACTCCACATGATCCTTCAGAAATCATTCTAATATGCCAATTTAGTGCTTAAGAAACTTTATTTATTAGTACTATTATTATCAATTTTGAAAACAGTTGTGCTGCTTAATGTTTTTGTGGAAACTGATATATTTTCAGGATTCTTTAACGAATGGAAAGTTCAAAAGAACAGCATTTAATTAAAATAAAATATTTGCAACATTATAAATGTCTTTATTGTCACTTTTGACCAGTTTAATGCATCCTTGCTGAATAAAAGTATGCATTTCTTTCAAATAATTCTTACTGACCCCAAACATTTGTCGCTAACACGATTCATTTGCATGTGCCCCTCACCTTGCAATAGAAATAGCGGCTGACAGCTTCCTGAGACCAGGGCTGGTTATAAAACTCTGCTCTTCTCTCTTCCTCTGGATTTCCTACTGTATCTGTCATCAGCTGTAACCACAACAAAATCCAGTCCAGTTCAAAACGGAAGAAAAGACAATTTCTCTAAAAGCAGTTACATCCTTTCGACCACTAGGTAGAGACACTGTTTCAAAAATGTTTAAAGTCTAAACCTTATTTTGACATACATTAAGTGTGCAAAATGGTTTGATATAATAATACTGTATATGACTATGATTTTGAGCTGTACACATAGTTTAGATTCACCTTAAGGTCCCGGTTCTGGGAACAGATCCAGTCCTGGATGTAGCCCTTGGGGTCCCTGGAGAAGCTAAGCATAAAATCTCTTTGGATCTTCAGTTGGTTGATCGACTCGATAGTTTCATGGATCTAAGGAATAAATGAAAATGTGATTGTTAAGAGAACACCAAATGTACAACCAGAACTTAATAGTTATGCATAGGGTTTAAATTAAGTTAAATAAAACAGCACCTAGATATTCAATAATTCTTGTCCAGATGGCTTTCACATATTAATGATAAAGCTCTTTCTGACCTTGTTGTCCAGGGATGCAATCTCGTGCTGATTGGCTGTGGACAGCAGGAATCCATTCATCTGACTCTTAAGAGGATCATCAACTTCAACATCAATGTCATAGCATGCTGTCTTCTTCTGGTCATTTGCATCCACGCTGATAAAATTAAAATTGAAAAAGGCATTTAAAAGAACAGTTTATCTGAAAGTAAAAATTCTGTTCTTAGTTACTCACCCTCATGCCATTGTAAAGCTATATGCTGTTGTTTTTTCCAGTGTAAAACACGATAATACACGACAACCTATAATGCTTTTTGTAGCGTCACTCTATGAATCAATTAAAATAATCTTTAAAAAATGATATTTTTGTCTAAAGTATTACATAAAAAATAATATTATACAGGTTTGGAACAATATGGGGGTGAGTAAATCACAAAATTGACATTTTGGGTGAATTATCCCTTTAAATTGTAAACAAAAACAGGCCCCTTAAAAGGTCCATTCGTGTCAAAGGACTTAAAACTGCTATAGATCAAATTATTTTAAGTTTGAGGATACAATAAATGGAGAAACATTCTGAATTTATGACCACTTACCTGATAATATGATTGATCACAATAGGATCAGGCGGCAGCAGTAGGTTAGTTAGTCGTTGGGGGATCTCACAAAACTTCAGACGAGGACAGTCAAAGATCTGAGAAAAAAATGTGTTTGCTATCAGGCAAAATGTTAACACCAAAATGAAGAAAGTATTTTATATGACAGAAGTATGGCAGTACCTGCTGGAAATATTTATCACAGTTGATGTACTCCTTTTCATGAGAATCCTGCAGCTTGTTGGTCTTGACGTACTGCCATAAAGCCTGGATGATGCAGGAGCGGGTCTGAGTGTGGATGCCAAGGAGACGTGCAAGACGAGGATCCAACTTAAACTGAGGAGGCTGAAATGCACAATGAATAAAGAAATTAAACAAACACATTCCGAAATGTATAACAGAACTATACCTTTATAAAATATTCACAAATTTAGTACATTACCCTACTACAATTTACATTCAGTATACTTGAATAGTTGACATAACATGTCTATGAACTTCATTCAACAGCAAGGGTTTAGTTTAAACTTTACACTACCATTTCAAAGTTTGCCATCAGTAAGACCTTATTACTTATATTCAACAAGGATGAATTCAATTGACTTTAAAGACATTTATAATCTCAGAAAAGATTTCTATTTTAAATAAATGCTGTTCTTTTGAACTTTCTATTTTATCAAAGAATCTTGGTTTCCACAAAAACATTAAGCAGCACAGCTGATTTTAACTTTGATAATGATATGAAATGTTTCTTGAGCACCAAATCAGAATGATTTCTGAAGGATCGCGTGACACTGAAGACTTGAGTAATGGATGCTGAAAATTCAGCTTTACCATTACAGGAATAAATTATATTTTAAAACATATAAAATAGAAAACACACTGTAAAAAGGATTTTTTTTCATTAAACTTTTAAATGGCAGAGTAACAGTATAAAGTGTACATCTTAGCTCCTGTAAATGGTCACCATTTCTACAATATTTATCACCATTTTTAATCACTTTTCTGCCTTTGCTAATTTATTTAAATGCTTCTCTGGCATGATTAATTCATTTAGTAAAAATATGACTTCAATTTAATCTCACAAAAACGTAATGTATAATAATTATTATAATTATAAAAGATTTGATTTTTTTTTTAACTAGTTCTAGGTGGATATAGCATGTCGTTTATCTGGATACTGCTAAAACTACTTGACATTTCATGTCAAAGTAAAGCTCTTTCTGTCAACTACACAATTGCAAATCTGTTTCATTGTCTCTTTTTCTACATTTTAATCTCCATTGTTTTAAAAACAAAGCTTTAGTTTTCTGACAAATCAAGCCTCTTCCCACCAGGTTGTAGTTAGCAATGTGAAAATTGCTACAATTAAAAGAGTCATTTAGTCACTAGCCATAGCTACTTTGGTGAATAGAGAAGGGCAATCAAACTTTTAGAGATTAATGACTTGACTATAGCTTTTAATTACAGTGCTTTTCAAGATGGATAAGACAATTAAGATAAAGCTATCATTATGCAGATGAATTTCTAATTGGCCATTTCTAAATCTCAACACATTTATTTGGTGGTATACATTTTGTACAATAATTAATGCAATACATTTTATTTAAACTTAATCGTTTAAAAAATCTATATCTTAAAACTAAAACTTTATTTCTAGGTCTAGATTGGATTTTGAATCTCAGATTTTCAGACTTTTAGAGCCCATAGTCAATTTTTCACATAGTTATCATTTAAAGAGTTTGACGTCATGCCCATAAACCTGCTACAGCATACAAACTGTCCACTGGTAATCCATCAACCGTAATCTCTAATTATAATCTGGCATTCCTGCACGCACCTGGTAATCCAGCATGAGTAAGAGGGTACAGCGCACATTCACATCGCCAGGCCTCTTCACCTGGAAGCCATCGGTCTCCTGGGTCGTCGGAGTGCGGTGCCACTGTTAGGATGAAACACAAACTCAGTCTAAACACCAGGCAGATAGTATAAAACTGCTGCATGAGAAGTATACAGCAATTTCAAACCGGATTTTGATATACTCTGAAGAAAATCTGAGCAGTGTTTGTCTGTGTCGAGGGTGTTTGTCAGGGCAGGCAGTTGCTAAGATGTTCTTAGTGGTTGTTAGAGCGTTGCTATGGTGTTTAGAGTGTTTTTTAGCAGGTTGCTATGCATTTACTAGTTGGTTGCTAGACTATGCTGGCTGGTTTTCAGGTAGTCACTTTCTAGCCTCCAAGTCTCTATGATATTCTGGTTCCTAGATATTGTTGGGTCCTTTACTTAATGTAAAGGTCTATTCACACAAAGATTGATAACTATAAAGACAACTATAACGATAACTATATTAGTGCCCACACTGATGCACAATAACATTATTTTTATTCTAAGCGAGCGCTGCAGTTTTGCTGTATGCCGCTTTAAATGCTCAAGCTCTTTAAAGCAGGACTGATATTCTGTCAATGTGTTTATCCTTAATCAGCTGGAAAAAATATTTGGAAAGTGATTCCAATGATATTGTTCCTCTGCGCCATTATCGCTATAGTTGTGCTATTCATTTAAATGTAGAACAATTTTTAAAACTACATATTTAGCATTATAGTTTTCATCCTTGGTGTGAAAGGGCCTTAACTCTATGGGATTTTTTGACTGATTTATTGACCACAAAGTGAAAATTTTCTCAAAAAGCAGCACCAAAATGTAATATTTATGGTTATGGGTTTGTTCAAATCTGAAACTCTAAATATGAGTGACAGTATTACACTAGTGATACAACTTGCCTGTACATTATTTTTTAGCTATTGAGAGAGGCCGTCAAATCTTAAAAATCTGTATTAACTATGGACTGCGTATGTGCTGTTAATGCATGGAGGATACATTCAAACATGTGAGTGAATAAAATGATTAGGCTCTTTATGCGATCTCACTTGCATTTTCCCTAAACCATCACATGTTTCAGCGCTATCTGAAAGAGACAACATAATGCCAGTGACTCACAGCTCAACTCAATTAGCATTGCTTGATATTTTCAATGCCATCTTTCTCCGCAGGTAAATCACTCTTTTTATCACACGCCTCAATCTGGTGTGTGCTGTGATGAAAACCCACAGTCACCAAGGACAATTTAAAGAGCTGTTGAATGAATAAACCCAAATGCGGCGCGTTCAGCCAGTTCCAATTGGCCGGAGGCATAAGGGTCACTCCTTGAGAGCTGCAGCCCACTTCTGTGTATCTGCATTCCCAAGACTTCAATGTCCCTAACAAAGTGCATAAATATTAAGTGCGCGAGGCAGCTGGGAAGGTTCCCTTGTGTAATGTAAATGCCTGTGTGTCTGAATAGCACCTGTGCACAATGGTTCCTCCACTAAAATAGAGTAAAATGCACTCTCTGAATACAAAGACTCTCAGTTCAGGGTGCTGTGAAAGGTTTTATAGGTGTTTGTCTTCAGAAATCCATTTCTTTTCTCCCGTTAATGCTGCCCAAAAGCTCTGTGCTGGCTGCACTGTCATCGCTCCACAGTGTCATGGGCAACTTCCTTATGTAGCATGTTACTATGGAAACCACAAAGATATGTCTCACTTGAAGTATGGTTAACTGAACTTTTCATTATGACATTGACGTTTCTACTGAGTTCCAATCCAATCTGTCACACAGTAGAGGCCAAGAGATTCTTGTGGACATGTACTTGAATGCGACATAATTTCACCCTGTGTGACTGTCCTCAACCTTGTTTGAATTGCAAAGAGGACTCTTGAGATTCACCCATATTAATTGCTTCCAACTTTTGTAAAGAATTAATATTGAATATGGTTTAGCAATGTTTTTATTGCCGTATGTCGAGTGAGTTAATGCTTACCTCCACTAAGTGGTTGTCAGGGCCATACAGATCCTTATCCAGCTCAATAACAAGGCTCTTAAAGAAAGACGAAAATTGTAACCTGACGCTCCCCTGATTTTCACAGTGTTGCATCATTCTCTCCTTCCCATGTGACCTCCAGCATTTTACAAACCTCATCATAATGAATTAACTCTTTTTGGTTTGCCTGTAAAAAAAACCCAACGAAGACTTTGGGAGGATAAGCCATTTCAAGCACCCACATCCTCTCCAGTTCCTGCTATTGTGGCGTATTACAGTGTCACATCCCAATGGAGACATTTTACCAAATCAGTCGTGTGCCTGCACTCATCCCACCTCTCCACACTCCATCACATTTCTTGGGAATCAAACCCTTTTCCACCGACAGAAAAAAACAAATACACAAGAGCAGTCTTCGTGACAAATTGGATCCCTCTTGCCCATTCCTTTCACTTTTTTTTGCCCACGGAAAAAAGAAACCAGCACAATTACCTGTACCGTGTGATCACTCTTGACTTGGCACTGAAAATTACGACATGAATAAACAAACAAACACAGACAAACAGATAAAAGCCATTGTGATGGACCTCACCCTCTGAGGGAGAATCTTGTCTGCCATTTTTCTTCTCTTGGCACTACGGATGGGGGAAAACAGAGAGAGAAAGAGAGAAAGAAAGAAAGAAAGAGAGAGAGGGAAAGCGTGTTACTATGGTGACTGATAGCAGAGTCCACAGGCCATCTGCTGAATAACTGGGACCCATCCAGATGTTTTTCCAGCTGTGTGTGTTTGTTTCTGTGTATGTATGTGTGTGTGATCAGAGAGAGAGAGTATAAGAGCGAGAAAAGGACAAAAAGAGGTTGAAAATAACACTTAATCATGATTATGAATGCGTAAATATTCATTTCTGCACATTTTGTGGCTGTATGTCTAGGAGAGTTGCCTTGTTGCTTTCACACCTGGCTGTCTCAGTTATTGTAAAGGGCTGTTCACACAGGACACGATCTTGCAATCAAACTGCAAGCCATAGTTAACATTGTAAAATTGTTTGTCATTTTTATAGAAGGGGGACAGTAAAAATGGTACAAAATTATTAACAAAAACTGTTAATAATTAAAATAATTAAGTTATTTTACCACATACAGTGAAAACTGGCTTAATGTAGAATTTTATGTACTTTTACTGTAAAAGACTGTCAAGTTTTTTGCTTTTTTGGAAGTAAAAACTATAAATTACTACATAATTTACAGTGAAAAAACAGTAAGAGGACATTCCCAGAGGTTCCTGCGTGACACATCATATTATATAGAATTTTGTTTCTTCTTCTTTTATTGTCCATAATGCATATTAGGGTGATTTGTGTTATTTTATGTTATTTAGTTAATGTTTATTGCATTATTCTATCGTTTTGTCTTTGTTCGTATGACCCTGTACACAGTGTTTTGGCCTTGTGGCTCTCTTGTTTTACCACCTTTATCATGGTGGTTATCAGTACATTTTAGGGTACATTTTAGTTGAAATAGCTATGTTTTTTAACATGATATCACTTAATCAAACATAGGGTTTTAAGTTGTAAAATATACAGGTAACAATATGCCAGCCTGTAACACTGGAAACATTGTCACCATATTTTTTACAGTGAATATCTGGCAACCACAGCTGCCATTTTTATTGTTAATGTAATGGATTTTTTTTTACAGTGTAGAAAATCTATTAAAAACCAGCTCTGATCAACAAGAACATCTTCTGTTTGTGTGCAGCCCATAACATTTGTGAAAAACAGATCTTTGTGGTCCAAATGTGTGAAAATACAGACTTCTAAAATGGGTCCCAGCATCAATTTGGACCACAAAAATTGAGTTGCATCCAACTGCTGTTTTCAGAAAGACAATTCTAATTTCTCATTTCTCTTCTATCCCCAAACATGATGCATATATCTCTTTAGTGCAGAAAAGTTTTTCCATAGACAAACATGCCACACTCCTATGGACACCGAGAGCTCCTCAGGTCCAGAGCTGAGGAGCACATGACCCTGTCGGAGCAGGAAATGTCTGTCCTCATTCACATCCACTCCCCCTCTGGAGTATAAACTTTCTCATGGTCCGACTCGTCCACCCTAAGCCACACTGCTCCTCCGGGAGAAGCTGAGAAACAGAGACTGAGATGGGTGGGGGTGCGAGAGTGAATGCCTCGACACTCGTCACGTATTCTTGATTGAAAATTAATAATTAATGCATTCAGGTGAATTAAATGAGCGTTTACTGAACGTAGGTCAACTATAAGAGAGAAAAAACATTCTGAATGAACACAAACGGCATGACAGAAGGGTCATGCAGCCCACACACAGCTAACTGACCACAACCGCATGTTCTACTTCACATGCACTGCAACAGGACATTCATTCTCAGGTCATGTTGACTATTGAGTTCATTTAGTAAATGTACATTTTTATTTGATTTACTTTACTTTAATCTGTTACCTTAAGTGCACACATGCATTTGGGGAAATATGCTTCAGTCAAGTTTAAAGCTGCAAACGGGAACAAACCAGGCAGGGACATCACAAAATGTCAAACTAACATGCAGCAGAATAAACAGCCTACTTGAAGGATCCAATTGAAGGATCTGATTGGGCGTCTCTCATGTCCATCTGTCTTGCAGATATCTCATTTGTTGCTGGAAATCCAAGTGGTTTCCTATAGGTTGATTTGGGGTACCTCTAGTTAGTTATTTAAACAGAATTTTTCAGTAACAGCCGATATTGTACACACATACGTATATATAGGCAATATCTACAAATATGTATATACACTAATCTTTAAAGGTTTGGGGTCAGTAAGATTTAAAAAAATATTTTTTAGAAAATAATAATTTTATTCAGCAAGGACGCAAAAGTGACAGTAAGTTCATCAAAGAATCCTGAAAAATCTATCATAGTTTCAACAAAAAAAATATTAAGCAGCATAACTGTTTTCACCATTGAAAGTAATAGGAAACGTTTATATATATATATATATATATAAACCGGATGTTTTAAATTGTAATAGTATTTTTTACAATATTACTGTTTTTACTGTATTTTGAACAAATTAATTCAGCCTACATTTAAATGGCCTTTACGGTCTTCTAATGTGCACTTAAATTAATTCTGTAAAAACACTAATAATTTAATAAGAGTAATCTTTATCCTAATCTCAAAATGAATATTTATTGTTCATACTGTACACTATAATGTTTTGATGCATAAACTCATTTGTGACACTGGACCACAAAACCAGTCATAAGGGTCAATTTTTCGAAATTGAGATTTATGCATCATGTGAAAGCTGAATAAATAAGCTTTCAATTGATGTGATGTATTTTTGGCTATTGCTACAAATATACCCCAGCGACTTAAGACTGGTTTTGTGCTCCAGGGTAACATTTATGAAATGTTTTAATGTTTTATTTTTTTAATTTATGTAGACAAAATTTTATAGATTAGGCAAATTTTTAGATTTAATAAGGGCCTTTTATTGGTTATTTGCCATGACACAAAAATAATTATCGGCTTATTTGCATTGGGCAAAATGTTAATATCGGTGCATTAAGCAGTATTGCAAGATCATGAAATTCTGGCCAAGAATGTACTGGGATAAATGTTTTGTATTTTGATAATCCAGGTCTAACATTTGTTAAACAATTTGAATTTTCTAGCAAGATCTGTTGAATTCAGTAAGCTGCCCCTCAGTAATCACAACTGACACTCTTACAAGCATATACAGTTGAAATGAAAATTCAAGGACAAATACAGTGCAAACAACAAGACCTGAAAAAACTAACAGCAAATTCCAAACATCACTTTCATGCCCTTGAGAAGGGAATGCTATTAGCAGGGTTGTTTCAAATGAAAATGAGCAATGGAATCCCTTCGTGAAGGTCCTTTCCGCAAGGCTGTTAGCGAAGTCAATCGTGACTTTAAGTACACAATTTTGCCGTTTGTGATCACATGATCCTGATGTGTATGTAAAATGTTTTGGAAACAAATGCCACACAGACAGCAATGTGAATCAAAAAGATTCAATATCTGACACTAGGTCTTAGCAGCTACATCAATAGCTATAAACAAGAGTTTTAAAGTCAAGCTAATAGTCCAGTTCTGAAAATCAAGTGTCAGTGACATTTCCAAGAACACGCTGTACCAAAATGGACACATACAGTATGAGACAGTAATGCCCTGCAGAAATTCAGCATCCTCACTTCAAGTCTTCTACACTTCTGAGTTGGAAGGGCACAGTGATACTCTCTTGTGAAAGGCAATATCTGTGCCTAAGTGATTACCTGTTGCGCTATTAATATGCTCCAAGTATTATTTTGGCATTTAATAGCGATCAAACTGTTGCTGTCTAAAGATAGAGCACCTGCACTAGCCAAACATAAGATATTTCAGTCACTAGAGAGCGCTATACTTGGCAAGAGCTTGCTGGCAAAAAGACTACAAACCTTAAAGGGATAGTTCACTCAAAAATGAAAATTTTAGGTTTATCTGCTTACCCCCAGGGCATCCAAGATGTAGGTGACTTTGTTTCTTCAGTAGAACACAAACGAAGATTTTTAACTCAAACCGTTGCAGTCTGTTAGTCATATAATGTAAGTGAATGGGAATCACAGCTTTGAGAATAAAAAAAAAAACATACACAAACCAAACCAAATTAAACCCTGCGGCTCGTGACGATACATTGATGTGTAAAGACACAAAACGATCGGTCTGTGCAAGAAACTGAACATTATTTATATATATTTTTTACCTCTTATTTTCAACGCAAAACTGTCCTGAGCACATTCTCAACAGCCGGCGCTTGACGCGTCTTCTTCTTCTTCTTAAGTGAATTACCGCCACCTATCTCTCAAATGGACCATTGACACTCTATCTACAATCTCAATTAGGAGTGTCAATGTTCCACTTGAGTGATAGGTGGCGGTAATGCACTTATAAGTCTGCGATCCGCCGTAAAACAAAAAGAAGACGCGTCAGGCACCGGCTGTTGAGAACGCGCTCAGGACAGTTCAGACATTGCGGTGAAAATCAGAGGTAAAAAACTGAAAATACTGTTCAGTTTCTTGCACAGCCCGATCGTTTTGTGTCTTTAAACATCAATGTATCGTCACGAGCCGCAGGGTTTAATTTGGTTTGGTTTGTGTATGTTTTTTTGACTCAAAGCTGTGATTCCCATCCACTTACATTATACAACTGACAGACTGCAACGGTTTGAGTTAAAAATCTTTGTTTGTGTTCTACTGAAGAAATAAAGTCACCTACATCTTGGATGCCATGGGGGTAAGCAGATAAACATCAAATTTTCATTTTTGGGTGAACTATCCTTTTAATAAAATTTAATTCAGGCATACAAAGTGCATCAAAACCAATAAGCCCAGTTTGTCCACATGAAAGGCTCTTGGAATACATGTTTATTATTTCTCATCAGTTGTGTGCAGAAAAAGTGCCACTCACTTTCTGGGACGGTTCTGGACGGGGAGAGGTTGCACTGGCTGGGTTGGGGCAGGACGTTTTCGGCTGGGGTCTAGGGTTGGGTTAGGCATCCCTGGTCGAATTGGTGGTGTTCCGCCATATGGAGGTCCAGGAGGCCCCATGGGAGCGCCTTGATGGGGCATCCGTGCCCCTGAGGTCATCCCTGGACGCTGTGGAGATGAGAAAAATGTAGACTAAAGGTCAGATACCAACACATTTCTTTGTTGAACTCATTTGACATGTTATACGATGTTATCTGTCTGACACACAATACATATGAAAATACATGCATATATTCGTATATGCATATTCATCAAAGTTGTAGCTTTTAAATCAATTACAGCAAGCTGACATAATGCACAAAGACTCTTTTGAGCTAAGGCACTATAGGGCGCTGTTATGAGCTCCTCCTCCAGTATCTGAAGCAGAATTAGGCCAGGGCCTCTCGCACCTGTGCCTGTCACTTCAGAAGCGACAGCTGCTCGCCCTCTACTGAAACACAGAGGTGCTGGGTAAGTCAGCCTAATGCAGTCTAAATGACAACTGTGCAAACTGTGATGTCAAATAACGTCTCATTTCATCTAGTCCACATACATTGTGCTTTCTGGAATTGGAAATGTGTTTTTTGGGGAATTTCATTTCCATTTCTTCAATATAATTCTGGATTGATTTGTATTGTGAAACCACTATATGAATAAGTCTGAATGGAATAGATTTTTTTTTTAAATTGAACATTAGCAACGCAATACAGCATTTATTATTCTAGGTTATTGTTAATACATCTACAAATGCAAATACATTCACATTTTTTGCATAAATTTATATAAAGTATATTCCATAAGAGAGTTTAATTTAATTTAGTGATACAGACATTAGTTAACATAAAAACAACATTATATTTATAAATGAACATTAACAGATTAATAAATGTGAATGTGAAAAGTGCTATGTATAAATAAATTGAATGGAGTTACTTTTTTTAATTGAATATAGCAATATTCAATTCATCAACAGTAGTTAATGCAATAGCTAAAATGAAATATAAACAATACATTTATAGCATTTATTATTGTAGGTTATTGATCATTTCTACATACAAATACATTTAAATTTTTGCATGCATATACATTTTATTTCATAATTTAATATATTGATACAAATATTAATTGACAGAAACAGTAGTATATTTATAAATTAACATTAAAATTGATTAATAACACCAAATACACAAAATAATGATCTTTAAAAAAGCATCATATGACCCCTTTAAAAAGTTGTTTATTGTTAGTTCACAACACCTAAAGCATTTATTAATGTTAAAAAATTGAATCACACCGTAAAGTGTTGCTCGACTGAAGAGCAATATTGTCTTTAGGTTTTTGTCCTGTTATTATTTCTCAATGCGGTTTGTGTCCGGGAGATTTGAGGTCTGTTGTTCATGACTCATAATGGCAGAGTCACAAAGTCCCTGTGACTCTCTGGATGTGCACCAAAGTTGTGGAAACATCCAGAATGTGAGCCAACGTCCCCAGCTCCAGTCCTCCCTCCAGTGCGGGTACAGTACATCTCTGCCAGAGATGCTCCCGTATGGTGCTGTGACCCTCACGACCTGATCATCGCTTCCCAAAGTAGGCCAAGCTCCAGAGGTGTCCAGGCCTGGTCCAATCTCAGAACATCTGAGTGAGGAGGCAGTGGGTTGTGAACATGTGGACGCTGCGGGAACCGGTGCAGGTCTCTGCACGCCTCTGCCAATCCCTGGCTCTCAAGGTCGCTATGGAGGTGTTCAGGGCACAGGAGGAGGCCGCAGCACTGGACTATCACACAGGATAGGTTTCTCAACACTTTCTCAGTACTGCTGTGCCAGACATATACTACATATCTGTTCAGAGATACCAATTTTGTAGATACCAATATTATTGTTCTCAGATCAATCACAATGTGAATCTTCAGATACAGTACTAGGGACCACTTAGGCCTATATAAAAGCATCTAAAAAGCAGCATGTCATGGGACCTTTAATGGAGAAAAAAATCAGAGGGTTTGAGATTTTTAACCTTCACCACATGGCTTAAGGCCAGCTTTGCAAGTTTGTAGTACAACCTGTTAAATAATGAAAATGTATTTAACAGGTTAGAATGGTTATAACATTTGAAATAACTAAATAAAATAATTGTACATGGTCTGTTAGCAATCATAGGCCGAGTGATCTCTCATTTATAAACCATGGAGAAGTTTGTGATCTCCAGTAAACACTCATGAAGAGTCTGCATTCAACCCCAATCCATCAATTTATGAAATATCTATACTTTCATATACATGAATAGCCCTTTCTGGAATAATATTTCCAGTGTAAGTGCTTTGTTAAATAATACATGGCAAAAGCAAAGCTAATAGAGGGTTAGGATGTCTTGAAGGTTGTGTTTTAGCAAAGAAGCCTCTAGAAACAATACCTTTTATTTGGTCTGATATCAAATAGCATTAGAAAATAGTTGCACAACCACCAAAAGTTCTCAAAAGTCTCCATGAACCTTTCATTTGTCCATATTTTTATGCAGTAAAAACCCTGAAACACATACAATCAAGTTTGAATAAAATACCACAGCAGGATTTTTTTTATTTGTGATCTACCCTTAGGGTGCTCCTGCTACACACCCTCCTCTGCCTGCACACCAAAACAGCATCCTCTGTTTCAAACTAGTACTCGTCCCTCAAAATACAAGTATCTCTCACACTTCCAGTACCGGAGTTTCTCTTTCCTTATCCTCCTCCATATGTTAAAGACTATAACCTTTCACCCTTTCTCCTACACGGCAGTTCCTGTTTTTTTTTTATCATATAGAAATAAACGGATAACACCCACTGCATCTTATTTTTCCCGTGAGCAGAGCCATTGACACGCTTCCACATGCACAAACACGCTTACTCTCTCACTCACCACTCCATGGACGAGAAACTCAAACAGTTTACTCTTGGTGGCTTTACGAGCACCTCCAGCAGAATCCTCCATGTCCATTTATAAAACCCCCAGTCTCTGTTTTGTTCCCTCTATTTCCCGGGTACCTCTGCCTCTGTATGCTTCCCTCACTTTCCCTCTCCTCCAAAAGAGAGTGCTCCCTCCCTCCTTCTCTGCACTCTGACGTTCCTTTTCTCCACTCTCTCTCTCTTTAAAGCATGTCAGTGTGTGGCCAGAGTCGAGTCTCTCTCTCTCTCTCTCTCTCTCTCTCTCTCTGTTTTAGTGTAGCTTCCCTCACAGACTGTGGGTTGGGAAGGATGGGGGTCTGTGAAGGGGGCTGTCGCTGGACCACCGATGTGTAATGGAATGCTGCTGAAAGTAGCAACACGGCAAGCAGGACTATAAAAACACAGACATGGTGCTGTTCCAATAGGCGGTTATGTGGCGGTAAATTATCCTTTTGCTCTCACAGCTGGTTATTAAGTTTGAGAATTATATCAGGGTAAAGTGTGAATGACTAACACTAGGAAAACTCTGAAGGAATGTTTCTACCGGCAGGATTCTGAAGAATTGTCTGTGGATTGCCATAATGGGTCCACTCAGATTATGCCTCAGAGTTTGTCAGTAAGCAATTAAAGGGATAGTTCACCCAAAAATGAAAATTCTGTCATCTTTTACCCAACCTCATGTCATTCCAAATCTGACTTTCTTTCTTCAGTGGAACACAAAATATATTTTGAAGAATTTGAGATCCAAAAAAAAAAAAAAGTAAATGATTTGTGATGAATTAACTATCACTTTAATGAAAGCACATTTTTGGACTTTCAGAGGCAGGTGGATGTAAACATGCTGTTAAATCTTTCAGATGATCCAAACATTAATAGGATGAGATATTGCATGACTACAAATGACTACAATGTTTAGCAACTAATATATCTTATTTTTTCAAAGATTGGTTCAAAGTTTGTAGGTTCAGGGACAAGCGGTTGGGAAAAAAGTTGGTAAATCTTCGTTAATCGTTAAAATGCAATTTGTAAAAATCTCCACAATTTAAAAAAAAAAGATAATTACAATAAAAATATTAAATAATAAAAATATCAAAATACGATTTTTTATTTTCAATTATTATCATTTGTATATTGACATAATAAGCATTGTACTGATTTACAAAACATTTCATGTTGATTGAACCAACTAAGCACATTAAAAAATATATAAAAATAAAGAAGAGGAAGAAAAATCTCTTCCAATAGTAGAAGGGAAGACATGAGCTCGATTATCCATGTGTACAGGTGTTAATGACCGTGGATGTGTTAATGAACTTTACATTTTTTGTGCTGTTAAGATTCATATTTTCTAGTCCAACGCACATTATAAGATCTCTTTATGAGAAAAGTACACTGCCTAGCCTAGTATTTGTGGTAAAGGATTAAATGTGATGTGGTATTGCTGAATGGATAGGCCTCCACTGGAATTACAAACTTCAGTATTGCAAACAACAGAGTCTGGAAGCACACAGACACAATGCAGAGCAGATGTTGGGCTCAATGAGAATGTTCATCAGCAGTGCCATATAAGTTACAAGATACATCAGCATTAAAGCAGCTGAAAGAAGTTTTGAGACAGACTATGTTGGTTATAACCAGACATGGTATTTCTGAGCTATACAAAACTGTGTAGTCATATGGAGGCAAAAAAGATGAAGCATTCCTAACAAATAACAACTGAATGACATGAGTAATAGTTCAACTGACAGGTGTCAATCAAGCGCGCAGGATTGTTTATAGTCTAATAATATTGTCAATTAGTATCAATGCATGAAATCAGCAAAATTACAATAGTATACTGAATAGTACTCTCGTGCTAAACAGAAAAGCTTTGAAATAATAAATGCTGAAAACGCATTTGCGGTATAGACTGAAGCGGATAATGACGCGATGCGATGGCGTTGCATTCCTACCTTTCTTTCCATTGCTGTAAGTTTGATGCTCTCAGTTCAGCTGAAGAGCCGAAACCCCCGAATTACACGCGGTGGATGTCCGGCAACTTCTTCGTTGTTCCAGACAGATTCTCGGCTACTCCCCCCTCCCCTGGGAATGAGAGCTGGATGGAGGGATGCTGGCGAGGAAGGCCCCGTGTCTGTGATTTCAGTCGGGCTCTGGCGGCGGTGAGTGCGGCAGACGCAGGGGCGCAGGCGCGGGGATCGTCCGACACAAGCGATTCAATGAAGGATTAAGGGAACGTCGTCAAACTGCTGAAAATTAAAGCAATCTGTGCATTTCGGTCACACTGCTGTAAAACGCACTTCATCATATTAACAATAAGGGACATTTTCGCTACTCGCCACGATAATTAATATGTACACTGCAACAAAGGAGAAATGTTCCTAACAACAAGGATTTTAGTGAGTTTTAAATTTAAAACGATGCCTACTCTACTCCTCATTCATACCGACTTTTGCATATATTTAATATTTACATACATATTTACACTCCCCATACACATATACGCATATTTAGTGGACCCAAAGCTATTTGGATATCTAAAACTGACATGATTCATAAATAATGCATGGATGTATTTCCATTGTGTAACAAAACGTCAGAGCATGGCATTCATCATTTCACTATAAAAGACTTAAGATTTAAAATGGTAAAACAAAAGATATAATGTCTGAAATGAAGACACTTATTTTGATACTTTTCAGTTTTCACTTTTTGGACATTTTCTTTCAAGAACTTGTGACATGTCCATGTAAATGCAATGAACTACACCTGTGCTTTTCTATTACACACAACGTGAACTTAAAGGAAACTAACTTGAAATTCATTAAATGACATTCTGACACCAGTCTGTTGAAAGTCAATGGAAAGAGGGCTCAGGAAAATTTAGTTTCTTTGCAGATGCCACTTGGTACAATATTTTGTATAATTTAATGGCACTCAAACTGTTTTGGGGGCTACAGTACACACTAAATTGTGTGCTGTTTTGCAAAAATGGACAAATCAGTTGCAATATAATCACATGAGCAGTGGTAAAACATTTTAAAAATGACAACAGTCACCAGTAAATAAAACAATTATTTAATAGATTATATCTCCATTTCAAAAGCCTTATTGTACACATATTATTTTAATTGTCCCAACATATAAGAGCAGCTCTACCTGATCTGCTTTAGTACAGTTTGTGTCTGGCAGACGTCCAGACGAACCCCACTTGAAACTCAAACACCATCAACTCACATACCCTCTTACAAGCAAGCCCCAGTTTCACACTGGGAGCATGCACATGAAGAAAAAAAAAGAAAAAAAAAAAAGAGGACAGGCACAATCAGCATCTCTAGTTTTCTTTTAAAAATCAAATATGTAGCATATTCCTACCTGTGACAAGCATAAACTTGGTGCAGATGAAAAATAGCAAAATAATGACCTCAGAGATGTTTCCCTGAAATCCCTGCCTTCAGCAAACCTGAAAAGTCCAAAAATCCCAGGAGACATTGCCACTGGCATTGGTGAGTGAGCAAGTGCAAAGAATCTTGTATACAGATGTATCTGTATGTGCGCAAACATGTATATGCTGAATATGAGTGGACAGAAACAGCCATCAATGGCGATACACCCCAAATGCAACAAAACTAAAGAAGATGGTGATGCCCACGAGTGAGGCGGTGGCAGGTGCAGTGAAGAACTGCCGGTACTGGATCTGGAAGTACCAGAGCACAGACAGCATAAGCACGAACAGAGGCACCATGAGGCTGCCCACGTTGAGCGCCACATGCACCTGGTCAGCAGCCCGTACCCCGGCAGGCATGGCCCGAGTGGCATGCTGTGAGATGTGGCAGTGCAGAACACTGTTGTCGGACAGGTTGAGGGAGGCCAGCGTCTGAGCATCGTCCTGAAGGAGCTGACCCTGGTAAATCAGACGTACCTGGTGCTCCTGTCCAGCAAAGTAAGTCCTGAAAATATAATCAAACAAACAGATGTTTATATACACAGAAATACAAACACCTACACATGCTGCTTGACCTGTTTAAGCATATTACAAATTATTAAGTCATATTTAGGAGGGGGTGATCCTTTTTCCCACTCAGTGAAATTGAGAAAAAAAAGGGGCTTCTGGTGATTAAAGGAATAATACAAGACTGCTGTAGTTACTTTGCAGCCTGAAATGAAGACGGACAGTTTTTGTTTTATCCAGCTTTATCCTTTACTCTTTATTTATTTTACTCTCCCTTTATAACACCCAAGTGAAAGATAAAACACCAACATGTCAGAAAAAAAAAGAAAACAGATTCACTGATTTGGAAAAAGGATCACCTCCTTGTGTCAGTATTTTGTTGAACCACCTTTTGCTTTAATTACAGCCTTTAGTCTGTTGGGATATGTCTCTGTCTCTACTAACTGCACATATAGACTTTGCAATATCTGCCCACTCTTCTTTGCAGAACTGCTCAAGTTCAGTTAAATTTGATGGTGACTGTTTGTGGTCTGCAGTCTTCAGGTTATTCCACAGATTTTCAATGGGGTTTCAGTCTGGGCTCTGACTAGGCCATGCAAGGATATTCACCTTTTTCTCCTTCAACCACTGTGTGGTCAGTTTTGCTGTGTGCAGGGTTTCTACAGACATGTTACATTTTTAAAGTTAAATTTAAGACTTTTTAAGACCTTTTTAATACCACCTTATATGAAATTTAAGACCTAAACCTGTAATGGAAATACACATTATGTTACATACATATATGTAATATTTAATGTCTTCAACGTAAAAAGAAAACAAAATATCATCACTGTAATAAATTATATTTATTACTAAGATATACAGTGAGCTTTTACATACTTAAATCTGCATATTTTTATTTACCTTTACAAAGGCCTATTTTTACAAATGCATAAATAATGTTTTGATATATTAAACATAAAACGTTGAATACTGATATTTGAAATTATTTAAATAATAAAAAGGTACTGTAAATGTGAAATTAAAACCGTCAGTAGGTGGCAGCAAGTCACTGTTAATAAGTGAGCCATTGCGATTGAACCGAATAATTTTAACGGTTGATTCATTCAGGAAGGAAACACCCTCATGTTGCTCAGAGACGCACAACAGTGCTGTGGCTGTTTGGAATTAT